GCTTTTGTTTGTTGTTTGGGTCTTGTGTTTGTTGTACATCTGTTTCTCTGTTTGTGTCTTTCTCTGTCTCTGTCTCTTTCTGTCTTTCTCTCTCGCCGTCTCTCTCTGTATCTCTCTCTGTCTCTCTCTGTCTCACTGTCTCTCTCTCCATATGACTGTTTGTCTGGTCATCTGTATTGTCTGTCTGTCTGTCTACCCACCCGTTCCCTCTCTTTTCCTGCTCATCTCACGAGCGGGCACAAGTTGAATTTATTTTTAGTTTTGTTGAATTTTGGGGACACATTCAACTCAGAATAGTTTTTTTTCCCTTTTTTTATCTAGAAATGTTTGTGTTTTTATAAATGTTAATAGCACTATTGACACTGACTACATGTTAATAATGTTGTACATTTTTTTTTACCAATGCCCCTGTCGTTTTTTTTCATCTTTTCTTACCTTTGTTTGCAACTCTTTGTCCAGTGTGGTGTTGATGGGCTGCCTTTTTACTGTGAGGAAATCTAGCAAAGAAATCCTGTTATTCAATGTAGGGAATAGGATATCATCAGTGGTAGGCACCTTTTCTGTTTCTTCCAAATTCTCTCATTGTCGTTCTTGCTTTTTTCCTTGCAATAATTGACTGTTATTAGGTACTTACTCCAATAAATTTAAACAAAAAGCCCTCAAATAACTGTATTTCCTCATCAGGTTGCTCTTTTGAGAGCTCATGCTGGAGAGCACCTTCTGCTGGGCGTGGCCAAGCGGTCGATCCCGCTCACTGATCTGCTGTTGCTTAGCAACGACTCCATCATCACCCGACACAACACGGACTCTGATGTGGCCCACATCGCCAGCCGCATCCTGGACGAGATTGTCACGCCAATGAAGGAAGTACAGATTGACGAGTCGGAGTTTGCCTGCCTTAAAGCACTCGTCTTCTTTGATCCCAGTAAGTTCTGACCTTCATTTTCTGACCTGTGTATTCGTTTAGCAATTGTGAGGCAGCGTGGTGGAATCAGGCTCTCGTCAATTTTTTGGGAATGTAGAGTTATTGGTATCATCTTAAAGCTTGTTCACTTGTTTTTATTTGGATGAAAAAAATATCCATCTATCTTGAATACAAGTCGAGATATTTGCGAGTGAAGGTGATGGGGGTCACCTATTTTCAGAGGTAAAATTAGTGAGAAATGGCCGGCAAAGATTAGTTATTTTCTTAGCTTAAGAGTCATTGGTAACTGAAAATTTACATTTTTAGTGCCTTTAATCAACGTTTTTCAGAAAAATCCACTCAGAAATGAGTTCTTTTTTGGGCATGAAAGATGTTGAGCCAAAAAACAAAATTTTATAAAAATTCACAAACCTGCTGAAAAAATCAAGTTTCTTCACTTGGATTATTTTGACGAGAGCCTAATTCCATCACGCTGCCTCACATTTGTTATTGTATTTGTTAATGTTTTACTCCTATATTGACACATTTTAGATAATTTTAGACGTGGGCACCTTCAACCTTGCTTGTCAATGTTATTTTTTTTACTTGACTTGTGTATTCATTCAGCGATTGTTATTGTATTTGTGAATGTTTTACACCCATAATATTGCCATATTTTAGTTCATAAAGGAGGTGGGCTCCTTCAGCCCTGCTTGTCAAGGTCAGTAGTCCAGGCAGACTGAGGTACAATATCCCAGCAGACAGAGTACCTCAAAAATTTCTCATGATGTGAATCAAGCTCATATCTTCTGTGTGCCATGATGTAGAACCTAACCACTGCACCACAGGCACTGAATGCACCGTTGTAGGTGGATAGAGGGAACCCTAGTGGTGTGCCTTTTTACTAGTTCTCATCAGAGTTGATTCTAATTTCCTTATCTGTTTCTGGTAAAATTTTCTCATTATAGTGCTGATTTGCTGTGAACTGCTACTACACAAAATTGTTATGTGAAGGTGCAACCAGCATTTGTGTGTGTTTGTGTGTGTGTGTGTGTGTGTGTGTGTGTGTGTGTGTGTGTGTGTGTGTGTGTGTGTGTGTGTGTGTGTGTGTGTGTGTGTGTGTTTGTGTGTGTGTGTGCAAGGGCATTTTTTTGTCATCTTTATAATTCCTTGCAGAGTAATTTTTTTTTTTTTTGCTTGAGAGCATCATGTGAGCTTATTAATGCAGTTTGTTTATAACTTCCAGCCTCACAATACAGATTGTTTGACCTTATGGCACCGTTCTCACAATTGGTAGAAAAATTCTTGGTGACAATATGGGCAGTATTGGGTTATAACTCACAACTGAGTAATCCTGGACTTGGGTTGTTGGAGGAATCAATGTATCAAATGATGAATTAGAAAATCAATCATGTTTGATTTTGGAGGATTTTATCAAATTTTGCAATTTGAAGTGCATAATAATAATAATAATAATATAACACGAAGTTTTATTGTATACTGAATCAAGACTAATTGTTGTCCATGTTTCTCCTACTCATCCTATGCTCCTTTCCCCACCAGTTGCCCAAGGCCTGAGCAATGTCCAGAAGGTGAAACAGTTCCGCTTCCAAGTGCAGGTGAACCTAGAGGACTACATCAATGACCGACAGTACGACAGTCGCGGTCGCTTTGGGGAAATCCTCTTGCTTCTTCCATCACTACAGTCCATCTGCTGGAGGATGATAGAGCAAATCCAGTTTGCCAAACTCTTTGGCATGGCCCGAATTGACAATCTGCTGACAGAAATGCTGCTCGGAGGTATGCTGTTATTTTTTAGATGAAACTTGTGTGACTACTTCTTCTCTAATATAGTGTAAAGCGCATAGAGCCTGCTTTTGAGCGGGGATATGCGCTATACAAATGCTATTTATTTATTATTATTATTACTTTAGATCATGAATATTGTTGGGGTCTTCTCTTAGTTTTTCTTGAGTGTGCTGTCATATAAAGCCTTTATTTTTTAATTAGATAGGACCATAGGTTCCAAGTAATAAATGTTATTATGGTCTAAGTTAGGGGAATTTTTTTTATCTTGCTGCCTCAGAGACTGGTTGACTGAAACATTTGTAAGTGTGTTTGTCCCTTTATCATTCTTTCTGTTTCCTTTTCTCTAATTCCCTCTACCTTTCTGTCGGTTCATCTTTCATCCTGTATTTTTCTGTCCTTCTTCACCTCATTTGCTATAATCGGAGGATAGAAGATACCACTAGTAGGCTCCACTTTTTAATGAGCCCTATTTTGTTTGTGTGTCTGATCATTTAGCGTTTCCCTCGTTATCAAACTGTCTTTGTTGTTTTGTTTTTTTTTAAATCTAGTTTTCCCTTTTTCTTGATGGCCATTGGGCTGTTTGTCTAGCTTTTACCCGCATTCCCAAATTGCTGTTTTTGTATCAATTTATTTTTTGTTTAATTCTTTTCCTCAATATCCTTTATTAAAAACACTTGTCACTCCAGTTTCCTGTCTTCCTACAGGCTCCAACACAGCGGATGCCACTGACATCGTAGCTTCTCCAGTGCTAGCCAAGTCGGTTCTGAACAGCCCAGTGGGTGGTATGGTTGCCTCCCCTCCTATGGACGATGTCATGAGTGGTCTGGCGGCCTCTGGCGAGACTCTGAACCTGATGACCGTGTCGTCAAATGCCAACGATTACAGCCCAGATGGCATGGGCCATAACGCGTCTCTGGAGGCCAGCCACATCATGCTGAGTCTGGCGGAGCAGAGCACAACTGGTCAGAGACAGCAGTCGCAGGGCTCGGCTGCACAGCTCATCAGTTCCACTGCGGCTGTCGCTGCCGCTGCCAGGGCCGGACAAGAAGGAGGGGAGATGATGGGTCATCACATGATTGCCATTTCCTCACCTCCGGATCACAAGCAGCACATTCCCTTAGTGGAGAGAGGGGCGGGTTCGATCACACCATTGCAGAATATGAGAGGTGGAGGAGGAGAGGAGCAGACGAAAATACTGGCAGCACCAAACGGACAGATCTTCAAGCAGGAAGTCATTTAGAGTGGAGAATTAAAGTGTGGTTAACGGTTTACTGTTCCCGTAAGGGGAACTGCTGTTTATGCTGCAGTGGTAACTAGGCTTATTATCAGCCTTTTTGTTGTTTACTATTTTTGAAACTTGAGAATAGATTAACTAAAATGCATACAAAGATTGTATTATAGTTTCTTGTTTACATCAAAGTGAGGATACTCTGCTGCCTGTTGTTTGTTAATCTTCCTCACGGAGTATGCTATACAGCGATTTTCTACTAAGTTTTTGCTAGTTTTGGTACATTATGTGGTCTGCTTACACTTTTCCATCCTAAAAGACTTTAAAAACGTTCATTTCTCGAATTCGATCGCTCTTACTGAAGACAGAACATGAACATTTTGTAATTTTACTCTCTGATCTTTATGTCATTCGAGTTAATCTTTTGTTTTTCTGGTCAACTAAACGGTCATGTGTCTGATATTGTATGTTTTGTTGAAAACTTCCATCATAGGAGTAATTGTTACTGCCACTTTGTTTGCCCACTTTTACCTGACTGTGCCTGTCTGCAAAACATATCAAGCTCTATGTCTTTCCTAGGACAAACAGAATGGTTTCATTGTCCCTCATCATAGTAAAACTAATCATTTTTTCATTTGTCTCCTGGCTTCCTGTCTTCTTTTCTCTGCCTTGAAGCCTCTACACACCTCCACATTCCTGTTTTGTCCTTGTCTCTGTTCTCTCTTATCCCTTTCACTCTTTTTTTTTTGTTCTTCCCAGCTCTGTGTGGATATAAATGAGTCAACAAAGTGATTCATTTTTTTCTTGCTCTAAGAAATGCCTGCATACATTTGTTCTCGGGATTTTTTAACGTTCCTGTTTAGTCACTTTTGATGCGCACTTTTGATGCGCACTTTTGATCAAGAGCATTTTTGGGGTTTTCTCTCAATTTCTCTGGTGCAGTAATGTAAAGCCACTTTGCCTTCACAGAATGTTCTTCTAAATTTTTCTGGTAGGTCATACCTTGATGGTGTCTGTCCCAAACTGGCCAGTTCCTGTAGAATGTTTATTTTGCACAAGAGACGAAAGACCATCTATTTCTAGCCGTTTTAGTCTATGATTTTTTTCATTTGAGATATAAGAGAAAGCCAGATATGGTTTCCTTCACTTTTAGTGTGAAAGTGCACCTACACGAAATGCAGATTTTTTTTTTTGTTTCAGGTTAAAGCTTGTGGAATTTCTTTTTTTTTATATTTCAAACTGGATGACTTTGGACCTGACACTATCAATGATTCATTTACCTACGCCTTTAGTTTTTTGGGGGGTTTCTTTCTCTTTTCCCACCCAGCCGTTTCTATTTCACAGTGTAGACATATTTCTGTTTCTCTGTGTAGGAATATTCTCAACAAACCAGCTGGTATTGCTGTAGTCCTACAGACTGTTCAATTCTACCTGGTTGAGTAAGAGTTCTTTTTTAACCCAGTGGGGTTAACACTTTGCCCCCACGGGACGCCGATCGGCTACTATACAGTAAGAAGCCGTCCCTTTTCCCCACAGGAATCCGATCGGGGGCGGTGTGATATAGCGTGTACCGCACCTGTATCCTGGTCCGTGGGGATAAGTGTTGCGCGCTGTGCATGCTGCGTGGGTGGAAAGTAGCTGTAGGGTTTTTGATGGTCATTAACTGCTACCTGTATCACATGTGTATGGGTAATTTGTTGGTTATGATTTTTAGTCGAATATTGATCATTATGCAAGCTGTTTTTGCTGAAATGGATGAAGGAACAGCTAATAAGGCTTTGGTCTTTGGTCTTTGGTTTAAAGATGATCATGTTCTCCAAAAATATAATTATAAGGTCATATTTAGCCTTTGTAATGAAATGTGAAAATTTGAAGTAAAGAAATTCCAGAAGATAACCATCAATTTTTTTAAAAACCTTGAAACAAAGTCCTTTGGTGCAGAATCCAAGGCTGAATATTTTTATACAAGTGAAATGCATATTTCCATCCTGGTATGAGCTACTGGTGGAACACTTTACAAAAACATCATCATCAAGGCCATATCATCATGGTTTTACTCCTTCTCAAAGCTCTATCAATGAAGCACCTTTCAACATCACCAAAATGTAGTTTAATGCTATGGTCAATGCTTACAATTTTCTTGCTTTTTTAAATTCTTGATTGGAACAACACAGCAAAAACTAGTTTTTTGTTATTGATGTGAAAAGAAAGGACCCAAACAATTGCGGATTGATTGCAGCTCCGATGATATGATCATTTTGCATAGCTTACATTGATGCTGGTATTTTTGTTGTCTCTTGTTAATGACATGTTTACGATTCTACATTCAAGTCTATTCGTACTTGAAATGCTGTAAGAAATGGAGAGATTGCTTGGATTATGATTTTGAAATTATTTCATAAGTGAATGTATCTCTGTCGGTGCAGCTATTAAGAGGCAAAGTCCTATGGACATACACTGTAAATTTCTCTGACGTGGGAAATCTGTTGTGGGTTATTCTGTGTTTCTAGAAATACAGCAGTTTCTTTAGCTCTACCAGTTTGCCATTCTTGATGTTTCTGTTTGTTTTCTAAAGCCGTTGCAGTGAAAACTGTCGTCGGAATGGGAATAGTACAATTTCTGTAAGTTTTACTCTTGAAATAGTGAAAACTTTGTTGAAGATTTTTTTGCTGGTGCACCTTGATGGTTTTTCTGTACTACTGTGTTTTAGACAGACAAAGGGGTTCCACTGAGGCTTTGTTGATTGATGTCATAACTCATTACAATATGTCTGACCCTTTTATATCCCTTAAAAATTTTTTTTTCACATTTACGCCATTTTAGTGGATGATGAGTGATTAAGTAAATTGCACACAGGTCAGTTATTGGAGAAAGAAACAATTTATGACTCTGACACAGCATACCAAATGATGTGAATGCCTTACCAATCCGTATGTTAATCACAGTATTGTTTGAGGATGGTTTGACTTGGCAGCTAGCATTTTTCATTCCCAGGAAATAAGTTTGTATGTAATCATAAAAAAGCCACAAATAACCCCATTAAAAGGGATCCCCCCCCCCACTCACCCTCCACCTTTAGTATCAGTTGAAGAGGAAGGAGTGTGAAAAAAAATTATGATCGATGATTAATTGCTTGGTGTGTGCGGAAATTGCATCTTTATGGCCTCTTAAGCAGAGCAATATAGATAGCAAGGATGTGAGGAAGCCGATGGATAAAAAAAAAAAGATGGGCAGCTTTATGTATGCAAATTTTATTCATTTTTCTTGATATCATCTCTACTTCACTGCTGGGCTCAGGAAGTACCTATCATTTTACGATGGGTTTTTATGATGATCATAAGGGAGGTAAATGCATTTTTGTAAACATCTGCTTCGTCTGCAGTTAGTGTTAAATAGATCAGAGATAGCAAAGAAGGAGAAAGAGTGAAGGAGACCGACCGACAGACAGACAGACAGACAGACAGACAGACAGACAGACAGACAGACTGACAATGACAGAGAGAGAATGAGAAAAACAGGAAGAAAGAAAATATCTATATTCTTGTAGATATTCATTTCTCATATGAATACTCTTCGTTTCCTAGCTCAATGCTTCCCCAACTCTGCAGGCTTTCAACACTTTCCAGTGCTCAAGTGTAGATGAATACTTTCATGTTTTCCTTTTTAGTAAGGAATGGTTCCCAAATCATTCTTTGTTCAGCTTTGAGAGCTGTGTGTGTGACTTTATTCATTCTTTTAATACATTTTATTCTTTAAACTTGCTGTGCTGAGGTGGCATGTGTAAATTTGTCTCCACAAAATCTCTGATGCGTGTATAAATCTGTTTTATCAAAGTGACATGAAGTATGAATGAGATGCCACAGTGGTCTGAGGTATCTAGTTGTGGGTGTGGTGTATGGCGTAAACACAATGCCTGTTGGTTGGTCAGTTTGTGCATATTATGTTTGAACGAGATTCACTTTATCTCGTTTCGTACATTCTAGATTTTTATTTTTTATCCTTAGTGATCTATATTTGAAATCTGTGCTGTTTTACATGTTTCTGGAGGTGTTCCTTTTTATGTTCCGTGCACTTATTCATTATTATCCTCTCCTTGTAAGTTACAGACAACATATTTGCTTTGGAGTAAGAAAAGCTTGTACGTTGTTTGCAACTGGTCCGATGTGTCATTGTAAATTGGAAGGAGCTTCTATGAGTACTGGTGCTGTTTTATACTTCTAGGTACAGACATGTGAGTTCTTGTATGTTAATGCTGGCATTGCTGTTGTGGTGCACGTTGGTGTAAGAATACTACATTGTCACTTGCCACGTTTTATGTTAACTTTGAGCATGTCATAAGGAAATGTAATGACTGAGTCATTTGTACAAAAACCTTCAAGCACCCACTGCTATTGTTGCACTATCTAATCAGCGAATGTCATTATAAAAAAAAAAATCCTCTTTTCGTTTGAAGGGAGTCAACGAAAGTGTTCCTTTTCTGCCAAAATGTTGTATTGTATATATAAAGATTCTGAATGTTGAACTTGTGTGTTTTAGGTCTTGCCCTAACTTACTTTGATGTGAGTAGGCCAAGGGTCAGAATTTACAGGTGTCGAAATTTTTTTTTTAAAGGACCTATTCTAAGGGCAATAACTTGGTCACATTTTTGCACCAATTTTAACAAAACTTCAAACAAATAAAATTCACCCTAAAGGATATCACATTTGGTCAATTTGAAGAAAGTCAATACATTTGTTGGGGAAATGTGTAAAAATTTCAACCAGAATTGGGTAAAGTGCAAAACTTTACTTGTTTGATGCATTCATCTACAAGGACGTGATTGGTTCAATTTGGTTTCAGGAAGAGGAGGGTAAAGCCATGAGTGTCAGTCACATCTCATAAATATCTCGCCCTGTTAAGAAAAGTTTGGAGACATTCATCATCATCATCATCATTGCCTTTCTCACCCTGGGGCAGGATATAGGCCACAAACAAACACTCTCCACCTTTCCCTATCCGGGGCTAGTCGATTGAAGTTTTGAGAGATTAAGGGAGAGGAAAGTGTTATCCTGTGGAAGAGGCCGGGTCCAGTGGGATAGGACCACACCCTAATGTCAAGAGTGGCCCCTGAAATGGCCGCAAGAAAGGTTTGAGAAATGACTCCTAAGCCGAAAGTTTACAAATGAATGGTCACTACATTCCCACTACTCGAACCTTCTCAATTATTGCCTTTGTTTGTTTTGGGTTTTTTTGTTTTTGTTTAAAACAAAGTCTACAGAAACAACCCACATACAATCGAACAGTTGAAATTCAATATTGAGCACATCCAAAAGAATCGACCCAGAAACATGCCATAGGGTTATTCAATGTTTCCAGTGGCGTATTTGAGCGTGTTAGGACAGAGATGGTCAACACCTTGAGCATACAACTTAAATAGTCGTCACCTCCCAAGAGTGTATTTGGCAATGTCAGTTTTATATATAAATTTGATCTTCAATGCCCAAGGACACTATTGGTTGAGTTCTAAGAAATTGTAAAGTTGGTTGAGGATTTTAAACATTTTTTGAATATTTAAATCTACATTGAATTTTTTCATATTGACAAATGCCATATCCCCGTGGTTGAATTTTATTTCTTCAAAGTTTTGTTAAAATTGATCAAATGATGATTGAGGTAGTTCCCTTTAAATGGGTCTTTTTTTAAAAAATAGACACTCGGTACCATCTACATCAGATGCATCATATCTACTTTTGTTGTCTGACAGTACTCATATTGAGTTGAGTTTCCATTCAAGTTCCTCATAATTACACGTAAAATGATCTTGCGTTGAGTAAGACTTTCCTCTGATGTCGTCTAAGTGCCAGTAACACTTGTGATCTAGTTCTTATTCTTTCATTGGCTGAATTAAAAGTCCAGGGCCAAATGGTTCCATGTGTTATACATTACTACTATAGATGGAATGTTTTGACTCTGGGCTTTCAAAATATTGCAGAGGAAATGTGACTGTTTGGATTTAATGTGCTTTTGTGCATGTGTGGGTCTATGTTCATGTTCTTACGCATTTGTATGTATGTGTGTGTGTGTGTGTGTGTGTGTGTGTGTGTTTGTGTGTGTGTGTTTTGTTTGTTTTTTGGGGGAGTAAAGAACATTTATTGAAAGCTGAGCAGAGAAGACAGAAAGACAAAATGAGGAGAAACACATTTTTTTAAAAATGAGAGAGAGAGAGAGAGAG